TCTCTTATTGTTATTTAACATCATGTGTCAATTGTTTTTTGTTTTTTTTTTCACCGAGTTAGACGAACCTTTCTTGACAAAATCTGGGTCTTACAAATAAAGCTTATTAGCACCGCACTGGGCTTACAGTGTTCAGTAACTATGTACTGACGTCATCATCTGGGATTCACGTCTACCTTTTTCACGTACTTGGCTCCTGTCTGCCGAACACTGATTAGTTCACTAAGAAGGCATTTCTTCCGATCCAGCTGCTGCGAGTGCAGAGACAGACTTGGTTGCTGACCTCAGGGAGCTCAGGTCACACAAGCGGTAATCAGGACGTGGGGGTGGTGGCGAGGGGCGTACCCGAGGCTGCTGTTCTGGGTAGGGGCCGAGGAATCCAGGGAAGACTTCTAGGAAATAGAAGTCTCTTTAAGATTAAGTGCTGTTAACTAAGCATTATAGCCGGTGTGTGAAAAGGGCATGTCAGTGAGCCCAAGCATGGAGCATTGGGTTCCAAGTCATTTGCTGTTTCAGAAGCTTCTACTGCAAAGCTCAACCTATTCCCAAGGTCACCCACTAAGGTCAGGGCAGAAATGGGCTATGAAATCACAGGCCCCTTCCCTTGGTGAGCGGGCCCTGAGAGCATTCGGATGCACCTCATGGTAACTGCGGCTTCATAAAAATCAAAGCTGATTGATGGGAGCGGGCTCTCCGCCTTCGTGTGTTTAGTCTACCCGTGCTTTTAGTAGCGCTGTGGCTGTGCTTCCTAATGGAAATGCATCTCTCACTCTCGCCATTACCCAGATATAGATGCTCTCGGATATAAAAGGCCATTTACCTCAAGATCTTTGTCTTGGAAGGCATCCCTAACTCAGGAAGGAAATGAGAAGGAGTCGAGAAGAACCCACCACAAATGTTTTGTCAGGTAGTTCAGAGAGAGAGAGACAGGACTTTAAACAGCTCAGGGTCGGTTTGGCTTGGATTTGCAGCTCCATTGCTCTGACTCAGTCTAGTTCGAGGACTTCACTTTCTCTTGTGAAGGACTCTAACAGAGAGAAATAAGCTCAAGGTCTCTTTTTGCTGTTCCTTTTTTTTTTCTTTAGATAATTATGATTGACGGCACAATTAAATCTTCCATTTATTTAATAGCTCACTGGACTCAGGATCCTATTGATATTATCATATCAACTCTGACATCCATTGTGAGGTAAGAATTATTCCCATTACGCAGGTGTGGAGTCAGAGGCCGAGAGAACAATGCAGCGCATCCAAGGTATCCAGATGACACAGCTGGGATTTGAAGACGAGCATGCCTGATCCCAGTGCTGGGGGCTCTCATGCCACCCAATGTCTTCCAGACCGGACATGCACGTGTATTTGAAAACACGCGACGGAGAGCCGTCCAAGTTCAGAGGCAGACGAGGCGGGGGCCATGCATCCCTCTCTCCTTTAGGAGGAGCAGCTGGGTGCCCATCAGAGCTGCCGTGGATGGACTGGTTGAAGAGAAAGAAAGTGAACCCTCATGGGAACACTCAGAAGTCAGAGTCTAAAGTTTCTTTCAAATAATTTGGTTTAATAATAATACGCCACAAATAAACGGCTCGTTCTCTGCTATAAAACCACATCACATCTGGCCAAACTGATCTCTCCACCCAATTATTCCTAAGTGACACGCTGAAAACAGTTTATGCTCCAAACTGCCAATGCGGGGCTATCTCTTTGATTTGCTGTGTGACCACGGTGGTGCCACTGACCCTCTCTGAACTTCTCACGAGCTGCAGAGGCTGACTTTATCCGGGCACCAGGAAAAAGGGAGGCTTCTCAGAGAGGCTTTTGAATCAAGTTGGTTTTCTCTTCCATGGAAAGGCAGGTTAGGATAAGAAAGTCAGAGGTGACACCTTCAAAAGGAAGAGATGTAGCTTTAAACTTCTGAAGGACCACGCTACAGGGCAGGCACGCACGCCGCAATACTGCTACTTCACTAAGAAGCAGGAGAAAATAGGTTTTGCCTTAGGAAGTTGACATGCAGAAATGAGCCTGAAGCTTCCAGTGAAACCACCCAGTCCTGGAACCCTCAACACATGGGCCCCTGTCCCATGCTAAGAAGTGTTCCCAAATGCCTCAACTCAGTCAAATTCTCAAAACAAAGTACACCTTAATTCACTTTGGTTTAGTAAGTAAGCCAAAAAGTACCTAAAACCTTTAGGAAATTGAGAATAGGGCATGAAAAGATACTGGGAAACAAAAATAATATATGAAAGTTAACTCAGTCAAAGCAGCATTTCCTCGTAGGGTAAGAGTTGGGGGAGGGGAGCATTACTCTCTGCACAGCAAGTGTTTTATCTGCAACTGACAAATCCCAAATCCTCCAAGCTCCTGTTTCTCCCTACTTAAGACCTGGGTCACTGTATTTATTTACTTAAGTGATGGAGATGAAGGCAGGCTTAACGCTGGCCACCTGTCAGAATAACAGTAACCTGCTTCTTAAGGGGATTTCAGCGACCCCAGCACCCAATCTCTTTGTAAGGCAAAAGGGGATCGGGAGACAAATGTAGAAAAAAATATCACTAATTGAGCTTGTGGAGATGTTGAGATGGAAGTAAAGGCTCCAAGGGGAGACTGATGCTGAGATCCAAGGGTGTCATTTAAAGCAACATGAAAGAGGGCAGGCCCCTTCCTCTCCGAGATTAGAAGGGATTTTGCAAACCAGGATACCCAAATGAAAAGCGAGGCTCTCTTCTCTGCCTCTTGCAAATGCCCTTGGGGTTCTTCATGTCCTTAGGAAGAGAGGTTCCTTGCAGATCCCAAGAAATGCAAACAGGCACGCTTTCTCAGAAATAATGCCACCGTGCGCCCGAGGGCGAGGAGTCAGCAGACAGGTCCCGCCTGGAGAATCTTCAGGCAGCATGAGGGGACCTCATTTAACAAACACACATACGGTGTGGCTCAGTGGTTGAGCATCGACCCATGCACCAAGAGGTCGCCAGTCCGATTCCCGGTCAGGGCACATGCCCAGGTTGTGGCCTCAATCCCCAGTGAGGGGCATGCAGGAGGCCAATCAATGTTTTCTCTCATCGATGTTTCTGTCTCTCTCCCACCCTCCCTTCTTCCCTTTCTAAAATCAATAAAAACAAACAAATAAACAAACAAACACACATGCACCACTTCTTGGATGCCAGGCGGTGCTTTCCAAATATTAATTCAGATGACAACTTACAACTTCATCATCACCCCGGGACGGTCCGTCCCCGGCCAAGGGCAGCACAGTGCTCGTCGGAGATGCAGCCAGGACTAGCGAGCACGTGGTCCCAATTCTGCTCTCACCCGCTCTGCTGTGCTGCAGGCCGGCAGAGGGGCGCTGGTCCCACGTGATGTCATCACAAAACTAGGCTGCACCTACGCACCTACGGGAGGGAGAGGACATGTCCCCAGGCCCCCCTCAGTGTCACATCAGCTCTGCTTTCTGCTCCAGAGGCAGGGTGACACAAAGGGCATGAGTGACAGATTCAGACAGACCTGGTTTTGAACCTTCTATTTTCCTGGGGAAAATGATTCAACTTTCGGAGCCTTCATTTCCCATCTATAAAGGGGGGCTTATGTAACCTCTCCCAGGGTTTTGAGAGGATTAGAAACCAAATCTGAGACCTGCTCAGCAGAGTGCCTGGTAATGGAGAGACAGAAAGTGCCCAGTCTGTAAAAGCGATTTCAAATGTTTCCTTGTTTGGAGGCCGCGTGGAGGGAGCTCGGGGCCTTTGGACAGCCGTCCTGGCCGCTCCGGAGGCAGTTCCTGCCTAGAAAGTGGTGAACCTGGAGCGGCTGAGGGAGGCTCTGTCCCTGAGCCAGTCTACCCCGTAGATTCTGCAGACTGGGCTGCTTCCTGCACCCACTCAATGAAAAGCAGTTTTAGGAAGTGCTAAGCTTAATTTGTTTGTGTCCAGACACGCTTCCAAGGGCTGTGCATGCACACTTGTCATCGAGATCAGCCACCTGTTTCTGGAAAGCCTGCTTTGCGGAAGTCTGAGCCTAGCTCCTGGGTACCGTGACTAGATGCAATTCCCATTCAGTCCACCTCTCACTCCAGCTCCCTAGGAATGGGCCTGAAGTCAACACCCTCTTCTGCTGATGAGGCAGGTCAGAGGAGGGTTAACTGCTCACTGGGCGTCTTCGCTGCTTACTGTGGCTGTGGGTCAGCTCTGGCTGGGAAGCCGGAGCATCCACTCTGCAAGCTCAGACCGTGTCTACCACAGGCTCTGGGTGAACTGAGGCACCGTGATGGTCCGAGATGATTACATGTGAGTCTGAGCTAGAATTCTGGCCTAGGACATTCTTTCTATTCTGCTGGTATTGAAATCAAGAACTGTTTTCTGGAATTGCCCCAAGGAATCTCCAATGGGTGGGAAGACAGGAAAACATGGATGAATACAGCTCAACGAGCACCCGAATGTAGACTTTTGGGATACGTTGCAGATTCAAGAGCACGTTGCTTCTCTTCATTGGCTCTTCCAGACAAAATAAAAAGGACGTAACAGTTTTCCCTACCCCACCGCCTGCTGCCTCCTGGCTGCCACAGCATTCTAGTGGCACCCACGTCATTAAAAAAACGGAGAGGGGGAGATGTTAGCTGCTGCTGGGGACACATGAGAATGTGTAGTGGTTACTCAATTACCCGCTGGTTCGCTTTCTCACGACCACACGCGTCCACCATAGAGCCTCCAGCCTCCACGGCACAGCCGCTCTGTGCCTACAGAGATGACCATGGCCAGAGAGGAGTCTCCAGCCTCTGAAATCTATGGCAAGATAGATGACAGCCCGATGGAAGGAAAGAATACCCTGAGTGCCTGATCGATCCACCTGCCAGCCCGTGAATGGTGGGTAATAAAAATTTATTGGAAATTAGAAAAAAAATGTCAGGGATTCTAATTCTTTTGAAAGGGAGTACCGCTGTTGCATATGAATAAACCCCCCTTCCTCAGGCTCCATCACCCCCTCCCTCCAGCCAACCCTGCAAACAGCACGGATTTAAAAATCTTGCAATTTTATTTGCATATAAAGGCCGCTAGATATAGAATATCACAATAAATTTAAAGAAACAACTGCTTTCCTAAATTTCATTAACAAGGTAACATAAAATAGAATAAAGCTCAACAGCATTTACAATGGGAAAACAGAAAATGACTAGTAGCGACAATATTTTGTGCTAGCGAAGATTGCATCGACACACAGTGCAAAATGGGGGGAGGGAGAGGGCGGAAGAAGACAATTCAGGGCATTTAAATATAAAGGACAACTAAGCCTTATTTTAGTTAGCTTCCATTGCATCCATTTCAGTCTGTACACGCCTGTAACTGTACCGAGATTTAGCTCAAGCTCTTTAAGACCTTGAGTTCTGAGATGTGGGAGCTCCTTCGGACTTCGAAGGCCTTGCTCCACCGCACCTTTGCAGCTAGCTCTCCGGTCCTTGGCAACATCAAACTCCTAACTGAGTCATAGTACACAAAAAAATACTTATATATATAAACCCATATTAAAAAGGAGTCTACACACTCTTTTTTTTTTTTTTTTTTTACTGCATGAAATACCTGCTCTGGACAGATTCCATGTCCATATTTTTAAAGCTAAAATAATTTAAAAGAAACAAACAAGGAGACCTTCTATGACCACAGTATCGATCTCACTAGCTAAGCCATCCTTTAAATGAGGGCCGTTTTCTTCCCTTGACACAACTTTCTTTACAGCGAGAGTGTGAAGGGAAGTCTTTCTCCACACCGACTTTTCTCGAAGAGATTACTATAAATCCGGGCCACATCTGTGAAGAAAGAAACGTTACCAAGAAAACAACAACAACAAAACACCAAAAAATAAAATAGTTCAAACAATACTCTTAACACAGCTGTGCAAATCTGGTTGGTTTTTAAAACGCTGCCTACCTGTTTCTTGTTTTCTTTCTCTTCCAGCTTAAAGCATATTAAAATAAGACTTTTATCACCTTTTAAAAAGAAAGCTTGGCTGTCCTTTGGAGAACACTAACAATTTACAATGGCGTGGCCTTTGAGAAAACAGAAGTCATTTTACAAATTCACAATGCTCCTTTGATTTCAAATGGATACCCCATTGGAAAAAAAGAAAAAGGAAAATAATAATAAAGAAGAAGCACAACCTTTAGCATCATTCGTGTGTTTGTTTGTTTGTTCCAGCAATTTACAAAAAAGAACTCACAGGATTTGGAAATAAACAAGAGACTGTAAGTTTATACTTAGAAAAAATGGCAGTTTATAGACCTTCCCTCACATTCCAATCGGGCATTCAGAGCTTCAGGAACCCTGTGGGTTGGGAAGGTCAAATATAATTGGAGGGTTGGTCGGTTGAAAGCTGACTGTACACGTTGAGGCATTGATGTAGGTTGTGTAACCGTCGGTCATGATGCCGTAACCTGTGGGGAGAGAGTGTCATGCTTACCGTAACATATACAAATAGTAGTGACTCAAGGCAGGGCCCTTGGCAAGGAAAACAAAACAAAACAAAAATCTTTGCCAGTGGGCAGTGAGGTGAACTTCAGTGGAGCCTCCCCAGGCATAATAGCTTTTCAGAAGCAGCCTCCCGATTTTATTCTACTTTCTTTAAAAGGAGGATCCTCTACTTCAAAGAAAAAGTGGCCCTTTATTCCTTATTTAAATACAAAATCTGTCAGGGAAAGGCTGTAACATTACTAGGGAGAATATAAAAGAAATATTTCCCCTTCTTTTTAAAATACGATTTTCATTTCAGAGCCCTATGTTAACTATGGAGTTCTGGGGGACAGAATGAGTAATAAACTCAGGGACACACCCATCCAAACCCCAAGCAGATTTCCAGACGAAGGAAGAAGGAAGGAGAGTTGCACTGGGAGTTGGGAGAGGAAGCTGCTGAGGCTCCCTGCCTAAGAAATATCATCTAACCGGCCTCAGTGAAAGACAACAAGAAGTGATCTTATCTTGCTTGAACTGTGTGGCTCTGAGCCCGAATTCCATTTCATTCAAAAGAGCCAAGTAATCAAATGTCCAAGTGGTTTGGAGAAACAACACCATAGGACATTGCTCCCTAAACTCACCTGGACACTGGGAAAACACTTCCCACAGGCAGCGTAAATCTCCTGCAACCCACTGGAAGAAAGCTAAGGGAATTTCTCTGGGTCTTTGGTCTGTACAAGCCTTTTATAATTTTTAACACGTTGAAATTTTCAGCATGTTTGCAAATTTGCATATTTCCCTGGAAACCTTGTTTGCCTTATATCCTCTGCAATTAAGTTTGTAATTCTATGTTGGTGCCAGGCTCTCTGGCACAGAAAAATATGCTCGTGAAAAAAGAAAATCACCAGGACTTACAGGAATAACTGATAAAGTTTTTTTCCCCCCTTTCCAAATTGCTAAAATTTCTTCAAGTAAGCCTGTGGAGAGCTTAATGAGGGTCAATGGAAAAATCTCTTAAGAAAAGAAAAGAGGCATTTAAAATGTGCACTGTTTAGTTCTGGGGTCAGAACGTCTTGTTATCTCTCTCCATCAGGAGGCTGGTATCTGCCCTCGCTCTGCCCTCTTCAGCTGTCTTAAGCGAATAAAATCGAGACGAGTTTATTTGAATATGATCTCCTCCCTTTTAAGCAAGTTTATTATTTTGGGACTTCAATGGAATTCCCCAATTGTCTGGCTAGTTTAAAGCTAATTAATGATTTTAAAAAAAGATGAAATGCAAACCCATAGGCATGCTGCAGGAATTCAACCTGATAATTGCCCCTAGAAATGCTGTTTAGACATGAGCACCCATTCACCCCACCCCCAAGTCATGCATCATGCCTTGGAGAAGCGCCTTCCTCTTCAAGGAACACAGCTCAGGCAGGGAAGGGTGGCATGCACTTCTGGGGAGCTGCACCCCTGCTTTCCATCCGCTCAGCTGGTGCCTGCACTTGGGGTTCCCTTATCTTTCCTGGCCTCAGTAGGATGATTTCCAGTGGGCTCTTTATTACCCGCCTAAACCAGGAAGCCACTGGATTTGTGGGCTTTGAAAAGCAAACTTGAGCCCTGGCCGGTTTGGCTCAGCGGTTAGAGCGTCGGCCTGCAGTCCTGAGAGACCCGGGTTCGGTTCCCGCTAAGGGCATGTACCTCGGTTGCAGTTTGTCCCCAGCCCTGGTTGGTTGTGCGGGTGGCAGCCACTCGATGTGTCCCTTTCACGTCGATGTTTCTCTCTCTCTCTCTGTTCCTCTCTCTCCCTCCCACTCTACCTGAACAAAAAATGGAAAAAAAAATGTCCTTGGGTGAGGATAAAAAAAAAAAAAAGAAAAGCAAACTCGGTTTTTTTGTTTCATCACGTACACAGATCTAAGCACCTCAAATGCAGATTCATAAATAACTTTAGGGAACAGCTGTAAGCAGGAGATGGAGAGAGTACAGTGGGCTGCCTCCGTACACACACCCACTGCCCACAAACATAAGTCAACAGGGAGACTCCAGCAGGGCCAGAAAGTCGACGGCCCACAGAAAGAGGGCTTTGGGTCTGTCCAAAGGCCCACTTCCCCCCGGTTTGCAAAAGGGAGGACAGACAAGACCTAGAACCTTTAAGGTTCCTGGGAGACTTTCAGGTTCAGTGAACTTGACTCCAGCTTCCTCGGAAAGGCAGAAAATGGCAACTGGACCAGTTCCCATTTAGGAGAGATTTAATTATTCCGTTTAACCTCAGCCGGAGCTAATAATGCTGATGATTTCTGAGAAGTCTCAGATGGTTTTCTGAGGTTAGTAAGATAATGTCTACGTGCAAATGTACTGGTTCCTGCCACTACGGTTACGTAGTTTCACTGCACGTCCTAAGCTATTTTTTGAAGGCTGTCTTGTCTGCCTGGGTGTCGGTGTGCATTCTACATGAAACAAGACTTAGAGGTAGGAAGAGGCCATTTCTCCCAACTCTCTTGAAGAGAAGATTTGTCCTTTATTACTTGATGGCTGTTCTCCTGCAGTGGTTATCAAACATTCCTCACCAGAGCTCTGAAATTCCAGAAGCTGCCCCCGGAGTGCTGGGCTAGCAATAAGGTGGGCCTGTTCCTGCCCTCTACTCTGTTTCAAATAGAGCAGCGCCATGTAAAATATGCATCAACTTATGTGCGGGCATTTCTCCTAACATTGCATCTGATGAAAGGGTTCCCCGGGTAGGAAGAGGCTGGGCACCACGGCTCCAGTTACCCAGGGCAGCCAAGGTCCGGCTGTGGAATGAGCTCACGGGCAATGATACAATATGTCAGGAGCTCTTCTGGTCTTACCTTCGTGAATTCCACCAAACACATGGAGCTTGGGTCGGACTCGCCTCTGGACTGTGTTTAAAAGCTCCACGCAGCCCACTCTCTGAAGCTCCTTCGGAACCCAGTCTCGAAAGCCTAAGGGCAAAATGCAATCAATACTCTTAATTTTCTTTCTTCAGGTAAGGTTTCATTTAGACTTTCAGGAAAGCCATAACTCACAGAAGGTTTATTACATTATCTGTAATCCTAGCCTCTCCATTAAAGCTCACAATGGCTTTTAAGGAACTTTTCACTCGTCACTTTGTCTTCTTTAGGTTCTTGAAAAAAAAAAAAAATTTTTTTTTCAGTTTCCATTTTTTTTCCTCCTGTTAATTAACTTTTTTTTTTTTTCCTTCTTCTTCTTTAAGGGATTTGATTTATTCAGCCACAGGTTTCAAATCTTCTTCATGGCCCAATGACATTTATTCCCGGCAGCCCCGTAATATCTCTTTCTTGCCCAACTCAGTCCCTCTCCTTTTTTATTGTACTTTTCTGATAGCAGTGTACTTCCAAGACAATTCGGAGAAGACAGTTTGGGATGGGCTGCCTGCACACTGGCCACAAGATAACCTTGCTCTCTTTAGATACATCAACTCTTAACCCTCGGAGGTTGATGACCAAGGCTTGGGAACGCCAAGTTCCTCCTCTGGCCTCCCCTCTAGCGATGGGTAACAACGGTGACCTTGTGGGGGCATGCAGGAAGCTGGGGCTAATCGACTCCTTTATGTAAAAGCCACTTAGTTCTACGCTTAATGCAGAAAATCCATAAAAACTAACATCAATTATAGCAAAAGTCAACTATCTGAATGATTATGGCCCAAATGCCTCGGCAGGATGGGGCGGCAGAAGGCAGGTAGGACGAAAGGCTAAATCATAATCAGTGGGGATCCATTCCACAGCTCCATTAGGTGATTCCTTGCTATTTAGAAATGATCGGGCCAAAAGGGACAGACAAGTTGATTCCACTTTGGCGAGACTGAGGAAATGAAGATTTAACATCTCTGTAAAGACATAATTGCTGGAGTGTGGGGACTGGCCAGAGAGTCTGGGAATAGATGATGGAAGTGGGGGCCCTATAAAAATCCAAGCAGGGGTCTTAAAACTTTGTTAATTAGAGGAAATAATCCTTAGCTCACAGTAATTGGCTTATTCCCTACTCCCTCTGGAGGTGTGTTTCTTGAAGGGGGTAAATATCTCATTTCATATACAACCCCAGAGGAAGCATCTTGCTCACACCATCACAGGCACGGCCCACGGGGTGGTGGCTTCCCTTCCCGCAGGGGGAAGTTCAAGGCCAGTGCCCACCCCGCTCCCACCTCCCAATACAGCGTTGTCCTAGGAATCCCAGTAACCGTACTGATTCTTCAGCTTCCCCTGGCGAAAGGCTTGCCCGAGCTTTTATTTCGGAACTCCAGGTCTTACCCTGCTCTGTGCACGGCCCTCTCTGGACACTTCATCTTTACTACAAACAGAGAGACGGCAGCCGCCCTCGTAAGGATGTCTGAATTGTTCCGAGGCTGGAATTCAGACTTACCGTTATTACCACTTACTTTTGTACCAAAATTAATGACTTGTCGGCGAATCCATCGATCCGACCAAAGTTATGTACCAAATAATAAATACTTCAGGCCTGTGAATGTTTCTATGCCAAGGATGTCTGAGTCCCTTCCAGGAAACAGCCTATCAGGGAACCACGCCTGAGCCCAACCAGGCTGCTGGGGAAAGCACCAAGCTGGCTGGACGCGGTCTCTGGAGGACCTCACTGGGTAACTCTGCGGATCGGGATATTTCACCAGCAATTTAATGTTTTGGTTAGTCTCTAGTGATTGCAAAATAGGGACATGAATTAATTATGTTGATAAAAAGTGTGGATAAGTATAATCTTTTAAGACATGGGATGGGGTGAAACGGGGTAGGGGACAAGCCTGGGGCTGGAGGTTCCGACGCATTGAGCACGCCAGGCAGCGCGGATCCCGGGCCAATCTGCGGTCTCCCGTCTGCGGCAGACCGGGCCCCCTTCTCTGGCTTTGCCCCAGCGTGGAGATGCGCCACCGGCTCAGGCCCGGTCCTCCCTTCCGCCGCGTCTTCGTGACGCACAGAGCACTTGCCTCAGAAGGCGGATAACAACCTCAAACCACAGGGGAATACATTGTGAAAATGATTTACTTTTGTATTAACTGCTTTCACCATTGTCCAAATCAGGATGATTGAGAAAACTTTTCTAGAACACTTAAAAATTTGTTAAGAGGGTTTTTTTTTTTTGCTTTTTTTAACCACAACTTAAAGAGAGAAAGAAAACTCCCACTAACAGTGCATCACCTGACTCTCCCGAGCACAGCTCAGCTGGACAAGGGAGGGCCCTGGTGTAACAGGCCCCGAGTGGATGGGGAGCCAGGGAGGGCCCTGGTGTAACAGGCCCCGAGTGGATGGGGACCCAGGGAGGGCCCTGGTGTAACAGGCCCCGAGTGGATGGGGACCCAGGGAGGGCCCTGGTGTAACAGGCCCCGAGTGGATGGGGAGCCAGGGAGGGCCCTGGTGTAACAGGCCCCGAGTGGATGGGGACCCAGGGAGGGCCCTGGTGTAACAGGCCCCAAGTGGTTGGGGACCCAGGTGGCAGTCATGTTTGGAAAGTGTTCTGTGGCCAAACTGCCAACAAACTCTGAACAACCAGAAGGTAATTATATGAGTCGGTGAATTGCCCTGGCCAGTGTGGCTCGGTTAGCTGGAGTGTTGTCCCGTACACTGGAAGGTCATGGGTTCAATTCCCAGTCAGGGTACATACCTAGATTTTAGGTTCGATCCCTGGTTGGGGCAGCTATGGGAGGCAACCAGTCGATGTCTCTCTCTCCCCCTCCCCCCTCTCTAAAAATCAATGAACACATCCTTGAGGGAGGATTTAAAAAATAATAACAAGTCAAATAATCATCTTTTGACCCACAGTCTGGGCAACTACAGGTAGCCTGGAAGCACCCTGGCCATCCACACCTGGATGCAGGCTCAGGATGAGGATCGCTGAGTAACATCCAACGTCAGTCCTTATTTAATACCTCAGCTAAAAAATAAATAATAATAAAAAGATCTTTTTCTCCTATACTCAGCATCTTGTTGAACTTTAAAGATTTCCCAGGTTATACTACGATATGGAAAAAAATGAACTCCTTTGAACAAAAGTCTCCATCATTTCACCACCATGCAAAAACCCTGGGATCGGGAGGCCCCCGCCCTCCGCGCCCCATCCCTTTACTCCAAAGTGAATACAGTTCTTAAAATAAATTATCAGGCTCAAAAGACTGTGGTGCTCCACACTCATTTGATTTTCCCTGACTTGACTAAATAAAAGAATTTAATTTCAAGAACACCTGTAAGCCCAGAAGAACTGCTGAGTTTAATGATCATCCTGGGTTTCTTTAAAGACACCGACACTTCTTTTTGTGTTCACTCTTTTTTTTTTTTTTAAGAAAAATTATTATGTCCCTGAAGCATTTATTCATTATGCTGGGGGAAAAAGGCATCTTGTATGACAAAGGGAATCTTTGCTTCACTTACCTAGAGGAGGTCCGTGCGTCATGAGAATGTCGATGCCCTCAGGGATGAGGTTCCATTTGTCCAGCAGAGACTGACCTCTGGGTAGGTTAAAGCCCCATCCATTAAACCACGGGGTCCTTTGGGGAGATAATGCACATGGTATCAGGCCAGCAGAGCCTCGTTTCTGCCCTGCAATATTTCTCTCTTGCACATTCCCCCACGGTTCGCTCTCTTTTCTCTTTTTGATGGTTGCCCCTGGCAGCGGGATGCTTTTTTGTTGACTGCTTCAAAACCCTCGCATCTGAAAGCCAGTGTGGAGCCTGCGGATTGTTCAGCTAGAAAGGGGCACACGCACCTCTGCAGTGGAGACTTTCCCAGCAGACTTCTATCAAAATCTTAACAATGCTCTGTCATCCCCCCAATCTCAGTGCTTCCTGACATGCCCAGCCCAGATCCGAAGCATTTCCACCCTTCCTGTGGTGCCTCAGAGCTAAGAGATACCCTCAGTACCCCCTCCTCCTCCCCATCACCGTGGAACTACTTCCCCAGAACGATTCTCACGTAAGTCCTTGGAAGAATGGACAAGTGCTTTGAAGGCAGAAACCTCTGTACACGAAGAATACCCTGGACTGAGAATGCAGAAAACAAAAATATGGGGGCTCTGAGAGGTGAGAAGGGACCCAGTGAACAAGGCCAAGGTGGAATTTTCCTTCTGTCCCCGAAGGGAAGATTTCTGGGGACATCCTTGGTCACTCTGGAATCCACTCTCCTGACAGTGGTCTGAGCGGCCACCCTCTCAGGAACTTCTGCTCTAGAAATGAGGTTCTGAGATCAGCGTTATGGGGTCTCTGTCTATCCAATGAGCATTTCCAATGGGAGCCGAAACTGTCTCTACCATTTATAACAACGGGAGAATGACCAGTTTTTCTGTACAAGTACCCCAGGCTAAATCACATCGGAACAAAGCAGTTCCCAGTGCTGGCCTCTTCCCAAACATCTAGCTATAACCACTCGGTTTTGAAACCGGGTCCTTTGCTCTGTAGGAAAATTCCAATTTGCTACGGCATACATGTAAAAGACAGGTTGGTCAATTTTCTCATTTAGCTTTTTCTCCTTCAACGCAAACGGCCTCTTTCATGCCTAATGAAAGAGGTAACCCTGGGTACAAGGTCACCTGGTCAGTCACAGCTAATTGAACAAGGGATATTCTTATTTAAAGCCATTCATGGCCCAGTCCAGTCAGATTCTCTCAAGACTCTGAACTCAGAAACACTGACCCAGCATTTATTTGGTGGTGGACATGTGGGGTCAAGGCCAGAGATAAAAGAATGACAACTAAAAGCCACGTGAAAATCCACTTTTCAGGTGAGAACCCCAGTTCCCGATGAGGCTGGAAAGAAAAAGCTCCAGAGATGAGAGACTGTGGGGCCCCAGTTAGAAAAAGAGAAACCAAGTAAGTATCTGACTTAGTTCCCAACCACTTTCCAAGTCCTTACGCCATTCTCAGGAAGCTTACCTGTGATAACAGTAGTAATATAATAATAATAGTTATTATTATAAAAGCTATTAATTATTGAATGATATGTCAAGGTACGATTCTAAGCACTTAATTTGTAATAGCCTATTTAAACCTCACAAGCTCATGATGTGGGTACTATTATTAACCCCATTTTATGAACGAGAAAACTGAGGCACAGAGAGGTAAAGTAAACACAACCAATGAATTGGATATAAACCCAAGAAGGCTGGTTCCAAAACCCATCCCCTTAATCACCATGCAATTCCTCTTCTTATATACTACCTGAATTAACTTTCGACTTTCTGGCCCCTTCTGTACTCTTTCAAGTCTGAGTGTTTTGTTGCTTAAGGCCAAATGAGCTCTTAACTAAAATAATATATCTATGGTATGGTTCTGAAACCCAACAATAAGATGGTGACATGGACAGCAATATATTGGTGGAGTGGACACCAGTGGATTTTCCTGCTCAATTCTTTCCTCTTTCGTTAAACAACGGCACCCTAATTTCCTCTAGGGAACGTCTACCTCTCCAACTCTGTACATGTGCTCTGGTAGGGCTGACTTATCCCTGCTCTAGAGTGAAGCAGGGACCGCCTCTCCCTGGACAGTGATTGGTCAGGGGTGTACATATGACCCCAATCAGGCCAATGAGAGTCATCCTCAGGATTTTGCCGGAGCTACTTTTTGAAAATAAGTGATGGCTTCCTCTCTCGGATGCTGAGTCTTGAGCACCATGTAAGGCTGGAACTGTCTGGGAGCTATCTTAGCCACCACGCAGACAGCCTGGACTTGAACATCAAACCACCATAAAGAAAGCCAAGAAACAGAGCCCTGATGACCCCTGGACATGGGGATCCAGCTGTGCTTGAAGCCAACCACATTTTCCTCCTAAGTACATAGGTCAGAAAGACCCTTTTCTTTTTATCAGCTTGAGTTAGATCCTGCTTCTTGCAACTGAAAGAGTCCTCGTACATACAACTATTGCATTTAGTGTACAAATGACCTACATACCTACGGTAGGCAACAATCTCCCCCTACCCCCAAGATGTTTATGGTCCAGTTCCTGGAACTTGTAAATATGTTACCTTACATGCCAAAGGGGAATTAAGGTTGCCATGGCGTTCAGGAGTGAATCAGCTGACCTTAAATGAGGGTGATTAGCCTGGATGACCCAGGTAAGCCCAACATAACCTCAAGGCTCCCTGAAGGTGGAGGAGGGGGAGACAGAAGAGGGAATTGAGGGATGCAGGTAAGAAGGATTCAATCTGGCCCTGGCTGGTTTGGCTCAGCAGTCAGAGCGTTGACCTGCGGTCCAGAGAGACCTGGGTTCGGTTCCCGCTAAGGGCATGTACCTCGGTTGCAGTTTGTCCCCGGCCCTGGTTGGTCATGTGGATGGCAGCCACTCGATGTGTCTCTTTCACGTCGATGTTTCTCTCTCTTTCTCTCTTTCTCTTTCTCCCTCCCACTCTATCTGTACAAAAAATGGAAAAATGTCCTCAGGTGAGCATAAAAAAAAAAAAAAAGAAGGATTCAATCTGCTGTTCTGGCTTTGAAGCTGCAGAAAACACAAGCCAAGGAATGTGGGCAGCCTCTAGAAGCTGGAAAAGATAAGAAAAGAAAAGGAATTCTCCCACGGAGCCTCCAGAAAGGAACACAACCCTGCTGACACCTGCATTTTAGCTTGGTGAGACCCGTGTCAGCCTCCTGACCTACACACTGTGAGCTAATACATATGCATTGTTTTAAGCCACTAAATTCACGATGATTTGTTACAGCAACACTAGAACACTAATCCCGTAGTTGAACCGCCAGAGCTGGTGATACAGTTCGGGACGAGTGGCCCTGGCCCCGCAGCCCCTCCGGCCGTGCTGCCTTGCTCAGGCAGGGACAGTGCTGGTGGTTTCCTGGAGGGAAGGGCAGCCCCGCTTTCTTCTCCCATCTGCGGGGAGCCCCGGGCTGCAGGGGGGACGAGACTGTCAGGGAGGCCCTTCCAGAGCCCCGCGAGTCCCGCACTCTGTCTGGTCTCCTAGGCCCCCCTGCCTTCAGAATCTGGACCATTTTCATTGGGGTCTGAAAGAGAGCTTTCCCAGGGTGAGGTGCCCACCCTTCCCTGCGTTTTCCAACGACCCTTTTCCGTGATGTGTCTGAAAAAGGAAAAGGGGGAAGAAAGAAAAAAAAAAAAGACCAGATCGAAACCCAGTGAAAACTCAGCGAGCATTTGGGCACGAGAGAGAGAAAAATAAGCAAAAACATCTGTTTTCCTCGTTTTGAAAACCGGCTTCTGGGTCTATGGTTCCTGCCTGAATTGCAAATAAGGACGGTTTGAAAGCGTCCCAAGCACACCCAAGTAGCTGGTACAACGAGGGGCTCTGATTTCGCTGCCAGAGCCTGTCTGAGGGCGATCAGCCTCTGAACCCCCAGCGCATCCCAGGGGCTTCGCGTCAAAGAAACAGGACTTAATCTTTTCAGTCTTTCCAGTTTTCTCTCACAGAATTTGTTTCTTAGAAACCCACAACCGTATTCCCCTAGGAAGTGCTCAGTTTTACAACTGCACTGTAAAAGATTAAGACAGGCCCATGGTCTATAGATACCACACATTTCATTTGGTTAATGTTAAGCTTGTGACAAAATCCAGAAATTCCAAGTCAAGGGTAAACTTCAAAAATGCCTGGTGTTTGCGCGGCCCGTGTGGCTCAGAGGTTGAGCACTGACCCATGCACCAAGAGGTCGCCGGTTCAATTCCTGGTCAGGGCACATGCCCAGGTTGTGGGCCCGATCCCCAGTGTAGGGGGTGGCCAACTGATGTTCTTTTTCTCTCATCAGTGTTTCTCTCTCTCAAATCAATAAAGAAAATTAAAATCTTAAAAAAAAAAATGCCTGGCTTTTCTTTTGACTCAAACCTGTTATGTGTATGAGAGCAACAGAGAAGTTAAGCTGTAGGAACGGGACCATTTATCAAGTCCCTGATATGCTTTACATAGGGTTTTTTGCATAGACTATTAAATTTAATTTCTCAGGATGATCCTTGAGCTAGGTATTATCAACTATTCTTAGATAAAAAAGCTAAAGATTGGTATGTCAAGTAACATGCAAGGTCAGATTTTACCCAGATCTGCTTGCTGCAAAGCCGGTGCCTTGTATCCTAATTGCAGTTTGGGCTGTCACTCACGTCCAGTAAAACCTGGCCTGCTCCGTAGTCTCTCAGGCTGTGCACTGTACAACCCCGGCAGGTGCCATGGCGTTGTGGAGCTGAAGAGGTCTGACCTCAGCAATGTTGCTATGGCTTGTCTGGAATGCTTTCTGTTCCTCTAAAATCAGGCGTGGGGGACGTCCAGCCTGTGAAATCAATACCAGCTAACATCACACGCCTCATCAAATTAGCCTGACCAAACATAGCAGGCTAATTTTTAAGTTGCTAACTTTGTATGGCCCGAGAACGATGGTATAAATTTCCAAATGGCCCTTGGAGGAAAAAAAGGTTCCCCACCCCTGCTAGATCCTCTAGATTAGGCCCTTTCCAAAGGCAGTGGCCAGGCAATCGGAAAAGCAACTCAGTGATGGGTTCCAGAATTACGCCAGCCTGGCGTAATAAACGGGGCACACAGAAGCCGGGAGACC